GAAACACCATGACCAAAGCACTTTGGGGAGGGAAGGGTTTGTGTGATTTACTCTTCCACATCATTGTTCATCACCAAAGAAAGTCAGGACAGGAACTCAATCATAGAAGGAACCTGGAGGCAGGAGCTAATGCAGAGGCCATGAAGGAGTCCTGCTTACTGACTTGTTCTCCATGACTTGCTCAATTTGCTTTCTTATAGAACCCAGGATCAACATACCCAGAAGTGGACATTCACACAGTGTACTGGGTACTCTCTTATCAATAGTAATCAAGAGAATGCCATACAGAATTGGCTACAGCCCTGCCTTATGGAAGCATCACCTCAACTGAGACTCACCCCTCCTACAACTCTAGTTTGCATCAAGTTGACATAAAACTAGCCTGCACAACTTATCCCTTGTCAATTTGACAGGTTACTATTAAACCACAACCTTTTCTTTGTTACCCTTCTCCAAGATCTTATATTAATACAAAAATCACAATACAAAATATTTTAAAAATGTAAAAGTCCAACAGTCTTTAAAATCTCAAATACTTAAAAGTGTAGTCTTTTCAGCATATCCAATCTTCCAGGGCAGAGTACCCTACCCTCTACTTAGGACTGGAGGGTGAGTGGGGGAGCAGGAGAGAGTGGGAGAAGGGGAGCAAGTAGAAATTTTGATTCCTATTATTTACAAAGTAATAAATATTATCAGAGGAAAAAAAACACATTTTGTTTCTAAAACTTCAAAACCTCTTAGAAAGTTTAAAGACTCTCAACTGTGGGCTCTTGTAAAATAAAAAAAAATAAGTACATTCTTACTTCAAGGAGGAAGAACTGGGGCACAGTCATAAACAAATCAAATAAAACCAAATCCAAACCAAGCCCCAGCAGTGTAAATGTCACAATGTCCTATTCGTGGTGTCCACTCACAATCTTCAGAGATTCTGCAAAGTGCTTAGGTCCTTCTCCAGCTAGGCAGAAGTCACACAGAAGACACAGTTTGTCTTCTAACCCTGGGCAGACTCCACTCAACTGCAACTTTTGTTCTTGTTTGTTGTCCCATGATACTGGCATTGTCAAAATGCTGGGATCTTCTGCTACACCTGGCCTGCATTTTCACCAATAGCCTCTCTTGGACTGTCTTTATGGTGCAAGGCCTCAACTTCTCTCATCAGTTTTCCTGGTAAATCAAAGGTTTTTCTGGTCTCTTGTTAATCACAGCTGATTCTTTAGCTCAAGCTGACCAGATTCACAGATTACTCAGGTAAATGGCCTGGTAGAGTCTTTGGTCCCCTCTGAAACTTCACAAACAAAACCTCCTTTGTCTGCACTTCTCTGGCCATTTTTTAATATCCAAAATGGATTATTCTCTCATACAAAATATTTAGCCACAGTTTCCTCTACCTCCCCTCTCCCCCAGATCCATTCCCCATCCATTTCCTCTTCAGAAAAAAGCAGACCTCTGAGAGATGGCAATCAAACATTTCAAAGCAATATGCAGTAAGACAAGGCAAAAGCCATCTTATTGAGGTTGGCCAAGGCCACTGAATGTGAAGAAAAGAGTCCCAAGAGTAGGCAAAAGAGTCAGAGACACACCTGTTCTCACTGTTAAAAGAACTGTAAAAAACACCAAGTTAACAGGCACAGCATATGCAATGGACTTGGTCTACATGAGTCTGTAGGCTTTGTACTTGCTGTTTCAGTCTCTATGAGTTGATACGAGCCCTGATGTGGTCTGATTTAGTGGGTCATGTTCACCTGGTATCCTCTATACCTTTTAACTCCTGCAATTTTTCTTCCCCCTTTTCTGTGGGGTTACCTCATCATAAAGAGGAGGGACATCCAACTGCTGTCAGAAAGGGCCTCTCTGATGACAAATGGACAAGGCCTTGATCTAAGAATATAGCAGAATATCCTAAAAATAATTGTATGTATGCATGTATTTATGTATGCATGTATGTATTTTGCCAATCATGGTTGGTTCTTTACAAGGTCTCTGGGCTACTCAGTCTCCCATTCCTGGTCATTCAGGTAGTGCAGGGCATGGGCCTCCTTTTGAGGAGTTGGCCTCTACTTAAACCAGACATTAGTTGGTCACTCCCAAAATCTTTCACCACCTTTGCCCCAGACTATCTTTTAGACATGGCAGATTGTAAGTCAAAGGCTTTGTAGCTGGGTTGGTGTCCAGTTTTCTCTTTTGGTAGCCTACAGAGTAACTTCCCACATGCCGAAGAGACTAGAACTTATGTGTGAAGGCTCTGTGCAGGCACCAGTGTGACCTCTCTATATCAAATGAGTTGTAAGGATGTTGTTCTCAGAAACATGGTCCTGATGTCAGATTTTGGAAAGCAAAATTCTGTCCTAGCACCAGTCCAGGTTGCTTAGAGATCTCCACTGAACCTCCTCAGCCAACATATCAACTGACTTCAACACAGTCCCACAGTGGAAACCTTGACTGGCTACAGAAGATGGCCAGCTCAGACTTTATATCTTCCATTACTAGGAATCCTCACTAGGGTCACTTGAATAGATTCCAAGAAGTTTCCACTTCACTAGATTTCCACACTCCCTCCCAAATATCCCCCAATTCCATCTGCCTCTCCATGCACCCTCTCCCTCCACCCCCACCTGATCCCTTCTGCTCCTGTCCTCAGTCCAAGTTCATACAGAATAGCCCACTGAGCTCTCAACACTCAGTGGCTTTTCTAGCCCGAAGTTCCAAAGTCCTTCCACAGTCCTTCCCAAAACAACATGTTCAGGACTGTCACAAAAATACCAATTTCTGTCTTACTTCAAGTTGCTAATGCTGTGATAAAACACCATGAGCAAAGCAACCGGGGAAGAAAAGGGTTTATTCAAGTTATGTTTTTACAGCATTGTCCATCACTAAAGGAATTTAGGACAGGAACTTAACAGGGCAGGGACCTAGAGGCAGAAACTAATGCAGAGGCCATGGAGGGGGACTTGCTGACTGGCTGCTCCTCATGACTTGTTCAGCCTGCCTTCTTATAGACCCCAGGACCACCATCTCAGGGACAGCACCACCCACAATGGACTGGGCCCTATCACATCAATCACTAATTAAGAAAATGTCCTACAGCTCGGGCTTATGGAAATGTTCTCAGTTGATGCTCCTTCCTCTCCAGTGATCTAGCTTCGGAGACACTGACATAAAACTATCCAGGACAATTCACATCTCAGAAGATATCCCTATCACTAAATGGTGTGTCATCTGCTTACCACATTGACCTGAAAGTTACTCTACAGCCTCCCTGACTTAAACCACAAATGCAGGTCACAAATTGCTATTTCAGAAATAGGCAGAGAGTAGCAGGATAAAGAAAAGAGAAACCCAAAAACAAAATGTGTTTTTTTGCCCTCAGTCAAAGCCTGCGTTTGATTGTTTCATGGCAGTATGTGTTCCTTATTTTTTCTGTTGATCATTCCCATTATGTTAGGCTTTGGGGTTAATTCTTAGAAAACACATGAGTATTATCTATGAAGTTGTGGTAATAATTCCTCATTTGATGGCTGCACTGAGCACCAAATTGTCCCTGTTTCCCATATGTAGCCACTGTCAATTAAATGTAAACAACAATAATAAATATCAATAGTGCTATCTAAAGTCTAAGTCCCAACATCATGGATACAACTTTTTAAATGCTCCAAATAGCACAAAATATTTCTGGGGACTCTGTCTCTCTCTCCATCCATCACCAGATGAAGGTTCTATGGTGGTATGCAAGATATTCATCAGTATTGCTATACGATAGGGTCATTTCATGTTGCCTATCCTCAGCTGCCCAAGGGACTAACTGGGGACATCACCATGGGCTCCTGGGAGCCACTCTAGGGTCAAGTCTCTTGCCAACTCTAAAGTGGCTCCCTTAACTAAGAATTGTGGTTCCGTGCTCCCCTGTCCAACCTTCCTTTATCCCAATCCTCCTGTTTCCCCAAGTTCCCCCCCTTCTTCCCTTCTAACTTTTCTCTCCCCATCTCCTCTTACCCCCATCCCACCCCACCCCCAGGATCCCAATTTTCTCCCCGGCAATTTTGTCTACTTCCCATAGCCAAGAGGATAACTATATGTTTTTCCTTGGGTTCACCTTCTTATTTACTTTCTTTAGGTTCACCAATTGTAGTCTCCATGACCCTTATTTATGGCTACAATTATGAGTGAGTACATCCCATGTTCATCTTTTTGGGTCTGGGATACCTCACTCAGGATAGTGTTTTCTATTTCCATCCATTTGCATGCAAAATTCGAGAAGTCATTGTTTTTTACTGCAGCATAGTACTCTAATGTGTATATATTCCATACTTTCTTCATCCATTCTTCCATTGAAAGGCATCTAGGTTGTTTCCAGGTTCTGGCTATTAGAAATAATACTGCTATGAACAGAGACCCACACTGGAGCACTGGTCTGAGCTCCCAAGGTCCCAATGAGGAGCGGAAGGAGGGAGAAGATGAGCAAGGAAGTCGGGACCACGAGGGGCGCACCCACCCACTGAGACAAGGGGGCTGATCTAGTGGGAGCTCACCAAGGCCAGCTGGACTGTGACTGAAAAAGCATGGAATAAAACCGGACTCTGAACATGGCAAACAATGAGGGCTGATGAGAAGCCAAGGACAATGGCATGGGGTTTTGACCCTACTTCATGTTCTGGCTTTGTGGGAGCCTAGCCAGTTTGGTTGTTCACCTTCCTAGACATGGATGGAGGGGGGCGGACCTTGGACTTTCCACAGGGCAGGGAACCCTGAATGCTCTATGGACTGGAGAGGGAGGGGGAGAGGAGTTTGGGGGAGGGGAAGAAGGGTGGGAGGAGGGGGAGGGAAATGGGAGGCTGGGAGGAGGCGGATACTTTTTTTTCCTTTTCTCAATAAAAAAAATATTTCTGGAGAATCACTGAAGAAATTAAAGAAACTGACATTTTAAAGGAGACATCGGGTTCTTTTGGGCAATGGCAGACCAGTATTTGCTTTTCCACTCCATTTGCACAAGGTAAAATACATTATCAGCTTTGTAACAAATTTTTATTGGAGAAAAATAGGCTACTTTCCAGCACTTTTTTATTTTTCAATACTTGACCACTAATAATACGTGACACAGTCCAGATGAATACATAGCTTGGGGATATAGACCTTGCAATAGTACAGTCCCCTATGTAAACAAGCATCATGTTCATTACTCTGCCAGCTCTCCCTACTCTAGTGTGTCAATTATTATTCTCACCTCTGGTGCAGTCAGTGCTAATTGCATTACCTGAGCTATAAAAATAAAAGATTCCCTTGTAGCAAATTCACAGATTTAATTTCAGTCTAGCTGGACACCTTGTCCGTCTAAGGCAGCAAACATCTGCTCCATGAAAAACAAAACAACAGTAAAGAAAACTGGATTGAGCTTGTAATTTGGTGTGTTTTACAAAACAGCATGGGAGTAACTTGCTGATTAGCTCCTCAAAGACAAAAGCAAAGTCAGATGCTGGTATTTTCAGTGTTCAGATATTTGAAACTGTGAAGAAAATCTTTATCCAGATGAGTGACTGACACCGTCCTCTTCTGGGCATGTCCTATTCAACACGGTCAGTGCTCATTCAGGACTCACAGGTCATAGGCACTAGTTTAATCAACATAGTTTATGTACAGACAAAGAAAGACAAAATTCAAAAAGTTTTCTAATTTACAAATGAATGCACTATGCTTGATTCACACTTTAAATTGAATTATTATGTTATAATATAAAATAGAGAAAATTGTTCTTAGTTGTGGAAGGACACATTAAATTTAGTATTCCATTAGAAAGTACAGGGGGGTCCTCAACAGTGATTTAATACTCAGATGTGAAATCTAAAGTTGTATTTCTTCACTTAACCTTGCAAGGTATTTAACAGAATCTCACCATGTATTCTCAATATATTGGATAATATTTTTTCCATTTGATAATGACCAGTGTCTAAATAGTCATATTCAAAATAATGTCTAGCATAATGATGATAGTTCAGAAGAGTAGGAGATGGGCATCTCTTCTATAATGTACGCACATGGGTAGGGAAAATATTCTAAACATCTCTGGTCCAGTCTCAAAGCAAGGAAAGGGCAAAGAGAGACAAAACACATTAAAGAATAACCACAAATCATACTAAAAGCAACCCTATCAAGTTATTAAAAGAGCTTTCACAGTGTTCCTTAAAAATTGTTCCAAAAACCCCCTCCTGTTTCTTTCAAATATAGGAGTAAGTACTTTGACAGATAGACTGAGACAACTTGTAGGTACAAGTGATCACACACATTTTCGGAGGAAGTTTTACCATTTGACTCAAACCTGTCTTATCCAAGAGTTAAGAAAAGCAAACTGATTATATTATGACATTCTAGAACAGAAAGTCAAAGCAAAGGAGATATACAACTGGAAAACAAGGTTGCTCAAACTTGTTATTCCTCCAAGGGGTCAGGGATTTCACAACCTGCATACTAGGCAGAACATGTAACTAACATCCCCCAGAGATGAGGCGGGATGTTAGTGACCTAGACAGGAGATGAAAAGCAATCCTAAATTAAAACTGAAGCCATTTTCTTTTCATCACTATAGTGGTGTTGAGTGGCTGAAACTCCAGCACTTGAGAGGCGGAGGCAGGAGGATACAGGGTTCGCGGTTACCCTCTACTTTGTAGTAAGTGAGTCTAACTTGACACATATGAGATTTTCCTTAAAAAGGAAAAAGAAATAGAAAACTATAAGCCCATTATTCTATCAATAAAATCTAATATTTGGTGAAACTGGGGTGGAGTGGGATGGAACAAGAGATGCAATGAGTAGAAATTTAGCCTCCTGATTGTATATTTCATCTTGGTCAGTTCATCTAAAGATTCATGGGCCACTTGTAGAATTATGTATTTTTGTTTTTAAAAGAGTGAAAATACTGATAAAATCTACAACACTACTCTGCATGTAGAATTATGTATGGTGATATTCCTTTCTCTGCTAATGGTTTTATCATTTTTTCTGAACTTTCAAAATGTGTTTATTCAACAGGAGTGAATGCAGTCACTCAGTCAGTGTGGACTCCCCGACTTCATCTCGTGGTTCATTTTTATCTGCCAAGTGGGATCTTGAGTAGGTTATCATTTATATATCATTTTCTTGATTCTGAGTTATGCTCTAGTTATGATGAGCCTGGCTTTTTCAATCAGTAATATTCTCATAGAATCCTATCTTCAAGCTAAAACCCCATTGTTTTTCTAAAATGATTCTGTCATATTTTTTATTCATCAAATGTCCATTCTAAAATAACTTTGGACACCTTGCCTGTACTATTTTAGAATTTCCCCCCCCTTACATTTTATCATCTAACATCAGAAAAAATAATACTGATCCTTCAGACACCTTGATTCACATCTTGAAACAATATCAGCATACATGCATAAAAATGCCTTAAATTTAAAAAATGGTATTAAAGATATCTATAATTCATTCTACAAAACAACAAAAAACCAAAACTCTGTATGTATATCATATTAAATCTAACTAATGAATTCTAGTAACTAACCTATTATTGACAGAATTAACTGGGCATAATTTATATCAAATGGTTATTAAGTCAATGTAAGGAGTGAAGCAATAAATATTTAAAATAATGTATTCTTGTCTGCAAATTCCAACTTTGGAGAAATGACACCAGGCAGCCGCTGTGGACCAAAACCTTCATATGTGTGCAACTTGAATTTACAAAGACCAAGGACTTAAATTTGTGCATCCTATAGCTGATGTTAGCAACCAGACTTCAGAAGCACTACATAACCACACAAAGACCAAGAAATGCTCAGGTTGTGTTTTAGCTCCAAAGGGATCAGTTTAGTTGGGTAATTTTAAGGAAGACAATTAGATATGTATAACTGAAGAAATCCTTTCCATTTGATTATTGCTAAAGTTCACAATTGGCCTGGAAACTCTTGGAAATTGTGTAGTCCACTTTATAAAGTTACATAAAATTTTGAAAAACGTTGCATGCTTTAGAAACATGGTGTTCCCATCAAGCCTGTACTCTAGAAACATTAGATGGCAGGAAAGAGAAGCTCCAGACTCGGTGCCTCCAGTTTTACAGTATTTTTTCTTCTTTAGCTGGAGTACCATAAAAACCAGCTGGTTGTTTCTCTGGGTCTGTTTTCTCCTCACATTCAGGACAAGGAGACATTTGCAATTTCTGCCAAACAATACAGAAAAGACAATTAGGAGTATACAAGATGGCATGTGTAAGGCAAAAATTCAGAATTTCAGTAGGACAGCAACAGAAGTCCAACAAAGTAACCAAATACCAGTTAGACCACAAGGTAGCCACAAACAAAACAAATACTAAGATTTTTACCAAATGCAAATACTGGGTTTGCAACTAGTACAGTTCTTCAAAATACCATGAGAAAATTGACCAAACCATCCAATGTAAAGTCAGCAAACTCTAAAAAAGTCCTGAACATTGATATTATATTTTCATAATTAAGCTTTGCAGGTAAACTTTCTAATTATTTTTGAGGAATTTGACTACTTTTTGCACCTACTCCAGTTCCCAAACATCTTTAATAGGTTTCTTCTCCTAAGAATTATAGGCACTTCTTAAAAAAAATTCTCGTTTAATTTCCTTTACTTTCTTGGTTGGCACTTAGAGGAGGAGGGGGAATCTGTCCTTTATCTTTGCAGGGCCTCATATAGGTACACTAAAATATTTACTGGTAGGCAGAGCAGACAAGCAAGGTTCTAGTGTCCAGCTGAAGGAACTAGACACATTCTTTTAGACAATCTATAAGGTCTCCATATCTTTTAAAGTGGCTCATAGGTAAACGTGCTTGCTACCAAGCTTGGTGAGGTGAGTTTAATTCCTGAAACTCACATGACGTAAAGAGAAAGGAGAAACCCTCAAATTAGACCTTGGCCTCCACATAAGAGCCATGGCACCCTCCTCACCCCATGCACACAAAATAAATTAATGTTAAACAAAATAAAGAAGAACTGCCCTGCAATCCAGAGGGTTCTAGAAGGACTTTCTGGATATAATAAAAATCAAGCAGACTAACAAGGTAATACCTGTGTTGCAGGCTCTGATTCTGCAGTGAGGTTTCTTTGGGGACCCTCCTCATGCTTCACCAAGCAAGGAATATCCTCCTATAGAACAATTAAAACAGGTCAGCTTACTTAAATTAAACAAATAAAAGTGATAGAGAATTCATTGCGGTTGACTCCCATTCAAAGGTTTCTATCAATTCAATGCATACTAAAAACTAAAAGCAAAATCCTCTCAACCAAGAGCTGGCAAGTGTTCAGTCATCCCAGGAGCTCCTTTCTCTCTACCACTGGCTACTAATAAGCTGGATTCTAAGGGAAAATTCCTTCTCTGTACAAATAGCCAAAAGAAGAAAAAGATTAAAGAAATGTGATATCTGTGATGCATTTGGACTCTCACTTAAATTACTCATCAGTGGTAAGTGTACCTTCAGGGGCATCAGTATTCAGGCAGGGGGCTGGAGAGAGATTCCTCAGCAGTTAAGGGCATTTGTTGCTCTTTCAGGAAACCAGCATTCAATTACAAGTACCCATGTTAGGAAAACTGATACTTACTTATTATATTTGCTCCAGGAAATCCAATGACCTCTCCTAACCTTTGCCAACATGTGCACAGAAGTCTCTCTCTTTCTTTCACTCACTCTCTCTCTCTCCCTCCCTCTATCTCTATCTATCTCTCTACCTCTGTCTCTCATACACACACACAGTCTCTCTCTTCCTCACTCTCTCTCTCACACACACCTAACCCCCCACTCACACACATACATACAAAAACACACGCATGCACACACACTCATAAACATGCATATACAAATACACCCATACTCCCACATGAACTTGCAAATAAAAATCTTTAAATATTGCAATACAGGAAGGGATTTTAATTATGTTATCATAAATATGTCTGGCAAAACACCTCAGTATGTTTTTAAAAGGCAATATTTCCATAACTAAAATATCCCTGCATTTTATAAAGCAAGAAACCAGGCGTTCCCTTTTAGCTCTATGAGATGTGAGCAAAGGAAGCTATTGTCAACGGAAACAGCTCCAGTTAGCTTTTATTCTGTCTTAATGAATGCTAAGACACTGACTGCTTCCCTCCTTTCCCCTCTTCCTCTCTTTGTCCACTTGCTCTTTCCTCTTCTCCGTTTTCTCAGATTCTAAACCGATGTTAAGGTGGAGTGTGCCAGTGTTCCACATGTTGACTTCCTGTAGTCTTTTCCACACATAAAACAGAGACTAAGAGTTTTATAAATTGACAGTGGACATCTCTTGATATTCAATAAAGCAGTTTCTTTCCTAGGGGAAAAACATAAGTCAGGGATTCATTTAACTTCATTCTGTCATTTAAAATACTCTTGAGTAGATGATGACACAGAAACTGTGAAAGTCATGTGTAGTAGAAGGCTGCTTGTTTGTTCCTAGCTGATCAGACCCAAAATAACCATTCAGAAACTATATTACTTGCAATACTGTTTGATTAATAGCTTGAGCATGTTTCTGGCTAACTTTTATATACTAAACTAACACATCTCCATTAATCTGTGTATCGCCACATAGATGTGGCTTACCGGCAAAGTCTCAGCATGACTTGCAATACTGTTTGATTAATAGCTTGAGCATGTTTCTGGCTAACTTTTATATACTAAACTAACCCATCTCCATTAATCTGTGTATCGCCACATAGATGTGGCTTACCGGCAAAGTCTCAGCGTGTCTGTCTCTGGTGGTGACTCCATGGCTTCTCCTTGATTCTGCCTTCTTTCCCCTAGCATTCACTGTAGTCTTCCCTGCCTACCTATATTCTGCCCTGCTCAGGCCTAAGAGTTTCTTTATCAACCAATGGTATTTGCAATATACAGAGGAGAATCTCACAGGTCAAACAGTAATGTTTATGAGGAATCTCGTCCTTGCTAAGAGAAAATTCCATTCTATGTTCTTTGTTTCTCCATGCTTGTGTTCTAATGACACCTCACAGACAGAAGCATTCTCTGTGTGGGAAATGTCTGATGTATAAACTGTATTTCATAAAACTTATCCCATGGAATGGGTTCTCAGTTATACAGTCATTATGATTCTCTTTCTTCAGTGGGAGTCTGCCATGCATGTCATGACTCGGGATCATGTATATGAAGCTGCGTTGTTTTTATTTTCTTTTGCATTATTCCTGCTGTTGTCTATGCATAGATTTTCTTTTTCATCATGACTATTTACATACAGAAGCACAACAAATATCTGCCACACTGATTCTGTGTATCATATTCCAACAATATTTGGAGTTATTGCTGATAAAATGTTTCCTGTAATTCTTCATGAGACTAGCTCGAATGGATTACAAATCTTCAAAATTTAAAAATGATGTTTCATAGGGTGGTTGTGGAGCCTGCTTTTAACCCCAGCCCTGGGAGGAAGAGGTAGTCGAATCTCTGTGAGTTTGGGGCCAGCCTGGTCTACAAGAGCTAGTTCCAGGTTCCAGGGAAGCCAGGGCTACACTGATAAACCCTGTTTAAAAAAAGATGTTTTATTTTCAATCAGCATTCAATTATTATATACGTGAGTATATATGTGTATATGTAATTGTTTATGTGTGCACCATGTGTGCATTTATGTGCTTCAAAATGTGTGTGCACATGTGTGTATGTGTGCTTGAACATTTACCCTCATGGTCATCACTTTCATTGCTGCTGTAAAATGTATGTGCGCATGTGTGTATGTGTGCCTAGAACATTCACCCTCATGGTTATCACTTTCATTGCTGCAGTAATGCTGGAAGTTCCTTGGATGAAGGCCTTAATTAACTGCCTTGTATAATTCCTACAAATACTTATGTGTAAAATTGATTCTTCTTTAAGTGAGAAGTACTAACAATCTATCCAAAAAAAAAATGCAAAAAGGGTAGAAGTAGAGCTACTACCAAATGTTCAAAGGGATACCACAAGGGATGAAGGGCAACGAGCAAGTTGCAGGAGAGGGAAGTGAGATTCAGGATCAAAAACCATCTCCATTAACTTGAGCAGAATCCCAGAACAGGAATATGTGCATATATCTCTGTCAAACTATCAGTCAGCTTTCCACATATTGTTACCCTTAACCATCCCCAGCAAGGCCTAGAGGGCAGTTAACGGAAGATCACAAAATTGAGTATACCTGAGAATGTAATTTTCATACACCATACATTATACTTGCTACTGCACAATGATTTACTTTTTAAATACATCATTCAAAGTTAAAGACCATAATGAAGTATTTACATTTCCTGAAGGACTCTTAATTGCCAAAGAAGTGAGGAAAAACTAACCAGGGAGAAGATTGAGTTTTAACAACCAATTATAAAGTAGTGCCAATATGGGAGTCAGACTAACGTTTGGTACCTTCGTACGTGTCAACAAAATTCTGTGGGGTGCACAGTTCCAATAATAAATTAAAGATTAATATTAATCTTGACATTGTGAGAAAATAATAATTGCATAGTGTGTTCCTTTTTTCTTAAGGAAATTAACAGGGGTTAAAAAAATGGGGAGGTACTATGTACTACTGAATTATACTTCCTTGGAGAAAGAATGTAGATTTGGGGTCATAGACTGGCTCAGTTTCCAAATGTAAAATGTACAAAGAACAGGTTGAATGATATTTACCATAGAAATGTATGAGTTAGTCATGCACAGTGGCTAGAGTTTATTCTCACAGGAGAATTATTGTGAGTTTGATGTCATTCTGGGCTACATGGTGAATTCTAAGTCATCAGAGGATATGTAGAGAAATCATGTTTCCAAAAGAATCAAAAAAAAATAGTGAGAATAAATGGGGAGAAGTTTTTGATAATTCATAAGAAAGAAAGCAAAACTGGCTTTGTGGGAGCCTAGCCTGTTTGGATGCTCACCTTCCCAGACCTGGATGGAGGGGGGAGGACCTTGGACTTCCACAGGGCAGGGAACCCTGACTGTTCTTTGGACTGTAAAGGGAGGGGGAAGGGGATTTGGGGAAGGGGCTGAGGGAGGGAAGGGAAATGGGAGGAGGGGGAAGTGGAAATTTTATTTTTAAGTAAAAATAAAAAATAAAAAGACACAGGCTAGCAGAAAAAAAGAAAGAAAGCAAAATAGTGATTGTAGGAAAGTATAGAAGTTTAATAAATAATAGAAAAATGAAAGAAAATGATAAGGAAATGTTTGCTTACCTCTGCAGAATCTGTAAACTGAAACTATAAGAGGAAATCTTATTGCTAGTTACACAACAGCACCAAGCAGATATGTGTAAACCACTAATCTCTGAGATCATGTGAGCTGTGGCAGCACAGGACTGAGTTGAAGAGGCTAGACTTGAGAGAGTTCTAAAGTTTGGTTTCCCGAGAAATAAATAATACCAGCTATCTCTCAGTATGTTTGATCATACATGTAACCTTCTATTTCCATCTTTATACCAATCTACACATTTGTAGAAGGAGCTGCGGGCAGCATTTCTGCTGCTTGGCTCCCATCTGCCTGGCTAGCTTATGCCCCAAAATAACAGCACACAAACTGTATTCATATAAATACTGCTTGACCCATTAGCTCCAGGCTCCTACTGGCCAACTCTCACATCTTTGTCAACCAACCTCCATTAATGTGTGTAGCACCATGAGGTGGTGACCCTCCAGGAAGATTCTAGCGTATGTCCATCTTGGGCTGGAGCTTCATTGTGTCTACCCTGGAGAGGAGAGGCATGGCATCTGCCTCACTTCCTCCCAGCATTCTCTTCTGTTTACTCCACCCACCTATGTTCTAACCTATCAGGCCAAGCAGTTTCTTTATTAATTAACCAAAGAAATCAACAGATTGATATGTGACACTCCCACATCACACATGGAAACAAAATGCATAATGTCTGTAATCCTTGGTATGCTGCTTAACAATGGCCATGGGAAAATGAGATGGAGAGAAAGCCAGCTTTGCTGCCTCAGTTTTATCCAACTTTTTAATATTATCTTCTAATTGAAACTATTTTAAAAGTAAAGAAAAATGCCTGAAATCAGCTTCAGGGGTTCTCAGTGTTTAGGACAAAACATTGACAAGAGACATTCTGACTGGATCTACTCAAATATAATACATTTTAGGAATCTTCTTATAGATTAACTGTATCCTGGGCACCTTATTGGCTGATACAGGGATGTTTGGCTATGTGGAAACTAGAAAATTATTGCTATATCCTCTATTGAAAAGAAGCCACCTGCTAAAGTCAATCTGAAGAACAGCACTGGTAATACTCAGAGACAGGTTTTGATTTCTGTATTCTGCCCTGTGCTGTACAGTGTGAGCTGTGATCAGCAGCAACCACTCACACAACCAATCCCTAATGACACACTGGGAAACTGCATGTGTCTCCCCCACTTCTCTCTAGAGTGCAAGGGATCATGAGTATTTCTCCCCTCAATACCTTACTCCTACCCTCACTCCAGAATGTGAGTTTTCATTTCCCGATCCCACATAGCTACCCACTTTAACTGCTAATTGTGTTTCAAAGACCTTTGATTAGAATCTCATTGTTAATATTTGACTGAAACTTTATTCTTTCTTTGGTATTTTAACCAACTCTACCTATCTTTGTTACAGTGAATTAATAACAAATAAAGCCACTTACTGAAAATTATAGACTCTGAGGTCTTTTAAGGGCAGATTTTAGGTTTTCTCACCTCAGAATTAATGCAATTCTAAGATCATAAATAATTTCATTTGGAAATTTGAACATAGTTATAGAAACAATCAGTGAGTTGAAATAATTGTTATGAAGATGACATTTGCCCTGAATATGGTCTATAGATACAATCCCTACCAAAATGATAGCAGGCAGGATTATTGAAATAATCGGGCTGATCATATAAATTGCAAGACTTTGCAATGGACTCAGCATAATCCATTTGGCATTACAATGTGATGACAAAGTTTCAGGATTTTAATCTCCTATTTGGAACTTATGTAAAGATATAGGTACTAAGATAATTTAGTACTTCCTTAGGGTTGAGCACACAAACTGGTTATATAATACCAAATGGTAAACCCTAAAGCTTTACATGCAAATAACATTACAGACTGAGCAGATTGTATTTATGTATGTAGGAATATAAATGCATATTTGAAAGGGAGCATGGAGGGATTTATAAGTGAGATTGGAGAGCCGGGCGATGGTGGCTCACGCCTTTAATCCCAGCACTCGGGAGGCAGAGGCAGGCGGATCTCTGTGAGTTCGAGACCAGCCTGGTCTACAGAGCTAGTTCCAGGACAGGCTCCAAAGCCACAGAGAAACCCTGTCTCGAAAAACCAAAAAAAAAAAAAAAAAGGTTAAAAGTGAGATTGGAGAAAGGAGCTATATTATAAATATTTTATAATCTCAAAAAATAATGAGTATTAATCATAGTTACAGTTATATGAAGCAATAAAAAGATACTTTGGAGGAACATAAATGATAGACTATATAATACAAAGCAATATGGAAAGCAGAAAAATTAACTCATACTTTTCATCAATTAGCTTTTGATAAAGGGAATAAATATTTGATGTATAAAAGGTAGCCATTGCATAAAAAATGTGACATTTATGATACTTGACTGAATAACCAAATAAAGAATAAAAGAGAAGGCTCATCAGGAATTGAAAGCCTAAATGTTGGAATACAAGGAAACAAAGTAATTCTTGTGTTTTTAAAGTAATCATTTAAATTAAGTTCTCTTTTCTGTTGGTTTATATATTCAATGAAAGAAACAAGAGAGGAGCTTGACTCTTTATCTGCATGTACAATGATGCTGAAAGTATTTTCATATTGCTCGACTGTAATGACTGTAACATTTTCACAGTGCTTACCCAGCTAGGGTGCTGTTACTATGAATTTAGACAGTTGTACTGGAGAATAGTTCCCGTGGGTGCAGTGGTCCTCCAATACTCATTTGGCTAATGGGAAAGCATCAGAAATGTAGCGTTCCCACATGTGAGCATGTGGAAAGGAATAAACCTCAGTGCTATGGTAAACGGTAGCCAGGCTTTGCATTTGGGTGATCAGATTACACTCAACACAGCGGACACTAAATAGGTGTAGCTCATGGAATACAGTTTAAAGAACAATGGTTTAAAAAAAGTGTAGCTCCATGGTATATTCAGTAACAAGTTATCTTTTTCTTCTATTGTTCTAGTTAGATACAATAGTGGTAATTCCTATGTAAGTTCCTGTAGTAGTGGTGGTACATTTTATATGAACTTGATAATGGGTTCATGACATCTATTTCCAGAATTTGACATTTATTATATGATAATTTAATATATGCATTCATATATGAATGAGCATGCATACATATACATAGCTGGATGCATGCAATTAAGGCATATAATTAAAGGCTGTGAGGCTCCAATAAGATTACATTGATCTCAGTAATTGCTAAGCTTCCTACATAACAGTCATCAGGCACAACAAAAGCTTTTACAAAATCCCCCAGCTTTATTGATTTGGAATGCTCCAAATAGTTGTTCAAAATGTGACTAATGTCCCCAGATAATTTTGTAATTATTTCTATTTGAAAGCCACTGTAAAAAGCACAGAATTCCTGGAGTTATATGAAATGAACACATCAGTTGTGCAGATCCCACAGTGGAAATGCTGAGGTAACATTTCTGCTCAGTCCTGTGCAACCATCTTTCTAAGTGTTCTCTAGGTGATGCATTCTGAAGTCACAGATTAGAACCTCTGATCCAAAACTTGAAAATGGATAATCACACAGTACCACTTTTTAACACCTAAAGCATTTGCCTAGTTTACATTTTCTCTGGGTCTGTAGCTCTGACTGAGCACTCTCTACAGTAGGAATTACAGCTTCTGGAAGGTTGAGACACCAAACACCAATGTGTACTAAAGTAAGGCTGATGTGGGAGTCCCCTCTGTGTGCTGTGATTAACATTAATGAAAAAAGAAACTGTATTGGCCCGTTGATAGGGCAGAACTTAGGTAGGAGAAGGGACTGGACTGAATGTTGGAAAAAAGAAAGGCAGAGTCAGAGAGATGCCTTGGAGCTGCTGCCAGAGTAAGACATGCAGAAACATTAGCCACAGCCACGTGGTGATACTTAGATTAATAGAAACGGGTTAAATTAAGACATAAGAGTTAGCCAGTTATTAGAAGGTAAAGCTAATTGGCCAAGCAGTGGTTTAATGAATACAGTTTCTGTGTGGTTATTTTGGGACTGAGCAGCCGGGGGGTGGGGGTGGGGGGCAAACAAGTGAGCCCTCCCTCAACATAAGGCTACTGAAGTAAGGCTAGAGACAGTATTCATGTTCGTACCAGTGAGGACAGTGCCAGAAAAGGACATGGTTATAGGAACTGTCAAAGGGAGAGAAGCTTATGAAGGAGAAATCCAGTAGTAGGAAAGGGGGATAATAACACACGCACAGAGACATGCACACAAACACAGAGACAATTTTGACAGGTCCAACTTTTTGTAAGAAGATAAGCCAAAATGGTGCCCAGAAAATCAATGAACAAAGCAGAGCTTTTCAACTTGTCATATAGAAGATGAATACCTTCCTACAAATGATACTTGTCTAGTGTATCAGTTGCCAAACGTTTGAAAACATTGCATTATTGAAACTAAATTCTCCAATGAGAGAATCCAAGTCCTTACTTTGTGGTTCTTGATTAACTTATGGGTGAGTTTCCCACCATTTGCTGTGGTCTATCCTGCATGCACAGTGCTCTGGCATGTTTTCTGTTTGTGAAAATTCCCTCTGATGGGCTAAGATCTATCCTTACTCCAGACCACTGCAAAGGCATCCTTTCCGACACATCGTCTTCTGGACTCTAGGGAAGTCAATTGCAGACTGTTGATTTCCACTCCTGATCAGCTTCATATCCTAAATTCTATAGTTTAGATATATGGTTCTATAAACAAACATAGAGTAGCAAACATTTTGAAAAAAAACTTTTTAAATTTACTTATTTTTTTTTATATCATGTGCATCAATGTTTTGCCATGGGTCTTGAGTTCCCTGGAACTGGAGTCACAGACAGTTGTAAGCTGCAAAGAGGGTACTGAAATTGAACCCAGGTTGACTGGAAGAGCAGTCAGTGCTCTTAACCATTGAGTCATATTTACAGCCCGATTTTTTCTTTCAAAAAATGAATGTTGGAATCTAGCAGAAAAGAAATACAAGTACCAATTTATTTGGTTTTCCATCTTACTTATTTACCTTAAATATTGACTAATTTCCCTCAGCCATGAGTGGTCTCAATATATAATTTCTATTTGGATTAGAGCCTGATTTGGTTAACAAAAATATCATTTGTTAGAGCCATCACAACAGATCTAAAACCTTCATCCTAACAGAATTCAAGTGTTGATGTTTTATTTTTTATCGCATTTATTAAGAGGGATCCCTCTTCCCTTCACCATCCCCCAACAGTTCAGTTTCCTATCTGTTTATCATATGAAGGTGGAGGATCTCTCTTTGCCTGATATCTTGTTCTATAAGAGCACATTAGCTTTTCTTCGGTGGTGAATACTATGGAATCTTTTTGTTTACTTCCTTGTTCTGCTTTAACCCTGTGATTGCTGTCTATCTTGTTGTTGTAAGAATGATGTGGGGTTGGTGCGGCACCACGGGTTGCACAGCAGAATCTGACTATAAAATCAAGAAGGGTATCTACCTGATGCTATTTAGGCAACACCTATGCCATCACATGGAAAGCTATAGAGCTTAAAAAAAAAGACTCCCCCACCACAGAGAACATTTCATGATGGTGTGAGCTACCACTGCCAAATGTTGGGTCCTTTCCAAACCACTTTAGTTACTCTTACATCTTGAGGACCACACACAGAGGTTCTTGTCTCTTCCTTTGTTGACTGAACTTGGGAGCTCTCATGGTTTCCTGGAGAACTTTTCTGTGACTGGAGAGAGATACACAGAAAAAAGAAAAAAATACATATCATTAACAATAAGAGAAATAGGTTTTCACACAGACATGAATTTATGTGATTATATGATATAAAATACAATTCATCTTCACACTCTAATAAAGAAAATAGACATTATTATACAATACATCTTTAAAAGGTGCCTTATAATTCTTTTCTTTGAAATTAAGAACAATAATTTGTTAAATTTTTACATTTGTCAGGCCTAATGGAATTTTCCCATTGCATATGAACATTTCTCAAGTACTAAGCTTTTACTTATTGATTTCCTTTTCTCAAAAGACAGGAATCTTGCCCTTCCTCTCTATATTAATCCCCAGCTTGTTCGAGATATAATAAACATACGTTTTCTCAACTGGACAGAAAATACCTTGCAATATTACAGAAGATACATAGAAGGTTACATGATTTCTATTCTTTCAAAGAGCAAGCTGTTTACCTCAGGGAACTGAAATATCATTATAACATTCATATCATTAGGAACACTAAGAGAGAAAAATACCCTGGCTGAAAGACAGGTATGAGTAACGTGTATCTCACTATGGAAAGGTTCATGGTTGTCCACTAAGAAGTGTGGGCATGAGTTTCTTAGGCACAACTCACTTAAATATAATGCTGTCCTCATAAATCTAGCAAAGCCATAAGTGTGATTTCCTGAGTTTAAAGCTTTGGTTGCAATGGGCCACATAGGAGAAATATTTGAAGATTTTAACTTCTGGGTTCCAAGAAGCCCAAGAGTGGAACAGAATCTGTGCAGAGTACAAGAAACCCAGACAAGATCTTCAGTTATTCTATGTGGTCCTCCCATAGATATCTACAAATAACTGCACTCCTTCATAAGGAAGCATTCTCACAAAAATAGTGTGCTAAAAATTATTGAAAAATTTTTAATAAACATGGTAGAATGTTTATTGCAAGTGAGACTAATAAAGTTTATGGAATATTAGCAAATTCATAGAAAATAAAGCACTCTAGTTTATTTAACAGTTCCAATATTAATTTAACAAGGTGTTGAGCTTGGGCTGAAAACAGTAATTAAGTAATTTCCCTTGATACCTAAGCTTAACTTCATTGAAGTCTAGAAGGAATTGAGAGTTGTAATTTTTTCTCCTCTAACTTTGTTTAAAAGACATAAATATACTCCTCCCTTTTGCACTTTCTAAGGAACAGAAAATATAAAAGCTCTCAGTGACACCCTTATGTTCATCTCAGCAGCACATATACTAAAACTGGTATAACACCGAGGAGATTAGCATGGCCCCTGCATAAGGACGACACACAAATTCCTGAAGCATTTCATATTTATAAAAAAAAAACCTCTCTTTCACCTTCATTGGAAATGAATTATAAGATGTGTTTAAAGATAACATGAGATCAGATTTGTCTGCAACGATGGGAAGAGTGAGGTATTGTTCATATTGAGTTTAAGGCAGAAGCTTATGCAAAGGAAAACTATGAAGAAAAGTAGGGGGTTGCCGGGCGGTGGTGGCGCACACCTTTAATCCCAGCACTCGGGAGGCAGAGGCAGGTGGATCTCTGTGAGTTTGAGACCAGCCTGGTCTACAAGAGCTAGTTCCAGGACAGGCTCCAAAACCACAGAGAAACCCTGTCTCGAAAAACAAAACAAAACAAAAAAAAAAAAAAAGAAAGAAAAGTAGGGGGCAGAAATTGATGGGAAATATGTTTCAATTTACCCCAAAGGCTTCTATGACCATACCACCTTGAACGCACCAATCTTGTCTGATCTCGGAAGCTAAGCAGGGTCAGGCCTGGTTAGTACTTGGATGGGAGAAAGGACAAAGGCAAGAGAGAGATGGAAAGAGTAGCACTTGGAGGGGTGAATCAAAAACTTTGGTTGATGTAACCTTTTTGACGGTACAACAAAAGACACTCTTCAGGAGGTACTTGAGTAAGCAACTTTTATCAAAGCGCCCATAACTCAAAGAGCAAATTTAAAGGGCACACATTTATAGAATTTGCTTCATTTGAAGGTGCTAAAGAATCTATAAACTTTTGGAAAAAAATGGAAATCAAGGGCAAAAGAATCAGATTGGAGTTACAAGGAACCAGGGTATTGCCTATTGCAAGAAGTTAGCCACCCAAACTTCTGTTTGTCAAAGGTCTGTCAGAAGATTCCACTAGAGAGAACTTTAAATTATCATTTAAGGGTTCTGTTCAAACAAGAATAGTCACTGATTGGGAAACTGGTTCATCCAAAGAGTTTGACTTTGTGGAGTTCAATAGTGGGGAAGACACAAAAGCTGCCATGGAGGCTACAGAAGATGGAGACAAACATGGGACTAGCCCAGACGTAATGGTGAAGGTGACTTTGGTTGTCTAGGTAGATGCTGAGGAGGTTTTGGAGGCTGAGATAGGGGGTCAAGGAGGACTAGGGAAGTTTGCTGGCACAAACCATAAGACTTTGGAAGTAGAGGAGGATTTATTCCCAGGTGGTAGAGGACAAGGGAGAAACTTCAAGTCGCCAGGAACTAAAATGAAGTTTGAACAGTTTTTTCAACCCCACTTGTTTCCTCTTTGTTTGAAATAAAGGGCTCTGGGGTTTTCTCTGTTACCTGTTCCGTGACAGAGCCTTGTGAGGACATTCCAATATAGTATGTAACTATGTGGGCTACATGGAATCCATATAGATTACACTTCGAGAGAGATACCCTTTTGGCTTTGACCAGTTTTTCATATAAACTTTTAAAAGATGAGTGATAGACCTAACCCTTACCTGTACATTTTGAGTTTATATTGTTTCATCTCATGTATGAAAACATTTTTTCCTATAAATATTTTTTCTTTTTTCTTTTCATTGGGGGTTGTAAAGAAATATTTTATTGTGTGTTTTTTTGATTCAGTGACTTTAGGGCAAATTAAAAATCTTATCTGTTTAAGATAGGCAGGGTACCCTGCCTTCTCTTAGGACTGGAGGGGATGGGAGAGGGTGAGAGGGGGAGTGCGAGGATGGAAGTGGAAGTTTTGAATGGTATTATTTATAAAGCAATAAAAAAAATAAAGAATAATACTCTTACACTCTCATCAATCTCTTTGATACACTTTGAAGATAGCAGATAACAAATGGCCCCAATCTCTGCTCTGGAGTAATTTCCTTTGGGGATGTGAAGAGTAAAACATGCTGTTTTTATCATTATGATATCTACGCAATCAGTCATCTGGTAACTTGATTCAATACAAAACACGTGTGCCCATGTATCACATGCACAACTGGTACCTGAAGAGTCTGAAAGGAACATTGAGTCCCCTGGAAACTTGAGTCACAGATGGCTAGGAGCAATCATGTGGGTCCAAAGGATCAATCTCAAGTCCTCAAGCTCAGTTATACTCCTAACTTGGAGACATCTATCCAGTCAAATAAACACATCCTTAACAAAAGCCAAACACGTATTTGTTTCAAGAAAAATCAGGAGTGTACCCACTACCTTCTTCCCATCACCTCCAACTCACAGATGAAATGAAGACACAGATTTAAAGAGGCTGTAACAGACATTAATACTGAAAGTGACTGTCCCTGACCATCACAATGAGGAAAAGAGCTGAAAAACATAAAGAAATGCATTAAATTACATTACATGTAATTTCCCCATGGGTTTCCAATAGTATCTTTTAGTTGAGCAAACAGATAACTGAATAACAATTTTATTTCAGTGTGCAGCAATTATAACTGTAAAAGCAATAATTAAGTTACTTGCCAATGTTTTTCAGCCTCTGTCAAAGTCTACATGCACAGAGGTCCCACATGTCTACATTTGGTGTTCCTAGGACATATATTGTATTCATACGCCTTATCAATATATGCTTCATAAATAAAATTTACAGGTTATAAATCTGTAAAGGGCTGGAGAGGGTGACAGCACTTGTTGCTCTTTCAGAGGACCCAGGTTTGATTCGCAGCACGTGCATGGTATCTTACAACCATCTGTAACCCTGTGTGCAGGGTATTTCACAGTCATGAATGTGCGACACGTAGACATATGCAATGACAGCTTTCATACATGCAAAGTAAAATAAAATCTAAAGATGAAAATTTAAAAACTCTGTAGAACGTATTTGGAAAATGTCTTCTGTTCCCATCAGACTTCATGGGAAGCATAGCCTTTTCTTGTGGCTCTATTAATCATCTATAATACATTCTATTATACATCAGAGTGCAGTCTCCAGAGGAAAGCATATTCATAATTGAATCTTTGGAAGATAGTAGGTATTTTGCGATCAACTAATTATTGTTTGTCATTTTCTTTCAGCTTTTTTATGACTTATACTTAAAATAGAAACAAAATAAAGCTAAAGAAAAGTATAGAATCATAGAGTGACTAGACATGCGTAAGGCTGAAGAAATTCTAGCAAAATGAATGATAGTAATTCAAAGGCAATCTAAATTATGTCTAGCAGCTCTGAGTGAAAATGTTTACATACACTGTATGTATCACAATATAATTACAATTAAAAGAGAGCACAGCTTAATTTAATTTTATTTCTAGAAGCACCATTTGGTTATTAAGAAATAGTCATTATTCCTTTTTCTTTTCTACTGTACCAGTAATAGTGTCCTTCCTTTTATTCTATGGTATGTAATTGTTTGGAGTGTCAGTCCCTGAGTGATCCAAGACATAGGCACACACCCAGGTCATTTCATAGTAGCTTCATGATGAAACAGTTGCAGCCAGATGAAGAAACAGGCTGTAATCACTTAGTTATGTGTAATCCCTGGCAGGCTTTGTTCTACTCTCTCATATGAAATCCAATTTCATAGTCAAGGTGCCATGTCTTCTAGAACACTGGCTTTTATCTTCCCAAGGCTTGTTTCTGCAGCTGTATCAACACATTTTTTTAATATGGCTTATGTTACTATTTCTGATATCTAAAACTGAAACTTTAATTTTAGTGTATTCATTATATCCCTAAATATGATAATATGAGTGATTAATTATATTTTATGTAGGTATCATATTTTAAGACTTATTCTGATATTTGGAGTTGAGTTGACAAATAAAAAATGAATTAAATGAAAGTTTTGATTTATTATCTATCTCTCTGTCATCTTTCTAGCCTCTATCATTTATCATCTGTCATCTGCTATGAACTACATCTACCTACTATCTAGATTATATCTATCATAAATCTGTTTACCATAGATCTCTATTATACTATCTACCTCCTATATATCTAACTAAAATATAACTAGGTCTATCTATCATGTACCTATTATCAGTCTATCCTTTATCACTTAACTATCTATCATCTATCTATCTATCTATCTATCTATCTATCTACCTACCTACCTATCTATCTATCTATTCATATATCTATCTAATCTATTTATCCTTCTAGTCTGCTGTCCATTATTTATCTATTTATCATCTCTCTATCTATGTATCTATGTATGTATCTATGTATGTATGTATGTATCTATCTATCTATCTATCTATCTATCTATCTATCTATCAATCTATCTATCCTTGCACCTCTCTGTCCTGTACAGAGTTATGTGTTTCAATACATAGTCTCTAGCTGATGTTTTAAAAAGTTGTAGAACATTTCTGAGCAAAGGCATGCCAGGCAAAGATAGACAGTTTGACCAGACCTTGAATTTGTATTTATAACTTACTCCTGCTTCTGGTTTAATGATTTTTTTGATCTGCCAGGAACTGAAGCTGCCCCCAGCTATACCCTTCTGCCTTGAACTTTGCATGCTTTATGGCAATGGGAGTTAGCATGAATTTTTGCTGCAATGAGTTCCTTCTATCATAAATGAGAAAATAAACTAATATAGAAATTACAATACCAAATACAAAAAAGTATAAAAATAAGAATATTGTCAGGGTAAACAAAACCATGTGCGCCATAGAGCTTTAGAATTAATTTTCCAAAGAGTATGGAAGAATTTGGAGTTTCGGGCTACAGAAGCTCCAGCATGAATAAAATAGTATTTAGTGGGCTGGTGAACGTGACAGAGACAGACAACTGATAAAACTTAGGCATAAAGACTTTGCTAATGAGTCTTCAGAGGCAAAAAAAAGACTATTTATCTCCTGGGTGATAAATTATAACTATAAGAATCTAGATACAATCTGCTAAATAGTGTCTTAAAAATTAGTGCTGCTGAATTTAAAAGCAACGAACTACTTACTTTGCAGATAATATTTAAAACTATTATAGCACATTTAGCCAGACTAACAGTAAAAATCAAAATAAAAAAAATGCAATATAAAGAGTTTTTGAAAAGTGTATTTTAGTGAAAAGAAGAGTACAAATGATTTTAAATAATAGCACAGGTATTCATAA